ATTTTGTATTAAATTTGCTCGTCAGTAGGGTCTCTTTTTAAATATTCTAGATCAAAATTAAAGTTTGCTCGTCAGTAGAGTCCCTTTATTAATTTTTTAGATCAAAATTTAAGTATGCTCGTCAGTAGAGTCCATTTTCCATAAATAATTTCTAAAATAAGAAGTTTATTTTAAGTGCAGGCAAAAAAATTCGAAAAATCCATATCAAGGACCACCCTAATAATATTTATATTCTATATCTATCTCCTTTCCTCCAGGTTGCGGCAACGGCATGATACTAATAGAATTAGCCCGCGAAGGTTTAAATATATTGGAGTGGTCCTTGATATGGACATTTTCGAATCCTTGCTCCCAAGGGCTCAAACGCTTCCAAATTGATAAAAGAAAATTCTCTCAAAGTTTCAAGTCTAAATATTAACATTTAGATAGTCCGCACGTCAATTAAAGTTCCGTACATTCATTATTAACATGGCGGACTATCTAAATGTTAATATTAAGGGCTGAAACTTTCAGGGAATATTCTTATATTAATTTTGTAGGGTTTGAGCCCTTGGGAGCAAGGATTCGAACACATCCATATTAAGGACCACCCTAATAATATTTATATTTTATATCTATCTCCTTTCTCCCAGGTTGCGGCAACGGCATGACGCTCATAGAATTGGCCCGAGAAGGGTTCACAAACCTGACAGGCGTCGACTACAGCCAGGCAGCCGTCGAACTCGCAAAGGCGATCGCAGAAAAACAAGAACTCAACATCGATTATCACAAATTCGACATCCTGTCCGAGGAAAACATCTCGAACCTGGGCCCTTTCAAAATCATCCACGACAAGGGAACCTACGACGCCATCAGCCTGTGTCCTGACGACACCAGGAGAAAAAGGTTGAAGTATATCGATAACATATGGCACCTGATGAACCAGGATGGTCTGTTGGTTTTAACCAGTTGCAATTGGACGGAACAGGAGTTGGTTAGGAGTTTCGGTGACAGGTTTGAGTTAATACAGGTTATACCTACGCCCAGGTTTACTTTTGGGGTAAGAGTGGGAGTTTGATCACTTCGGTTGTTTTTAAAAAAAGGGAAATGAAAATTGTATAGTGTGAGGGGCGCTTTAGGGTAAGGCTGGTTTCACACTGGGGGTTTTGTATGTGTGAGTGAGATTGGTTTTGTGTGAAGCCGGTTAAGTGTGTGGAGGGCTTTAGCGTTTAAAGCTGTCT